CATAGTCTTGGATCCAACTCTCCATCGCCCCCGCACAAGATACATACCTAGGTAGTAGTACCTACTATGGATTGATACCCTGACCAGTCAGTTTCCGTACGGAGTTCGCGGCCAGGGATAAAGTTAGATTCTCGACTCGCAGGCGTCGCGACATCGCTTGTCGCTTCTCAGGGGGATAGTGCCTTGGATATCTACGCGGATGGGTCGGCGGACAAAGGAAAAGCCACAGAGCCATGCATCTACTAGTCCTAGTGGTCAAAGAACAAGCTTACATGGGATTGCACACCGCTGACTTGCATCGGTCCATGTAGATCACTCTGCCATGCGTCTTTGTCCTATTGACAGCATACGTACACTGGTCTGTGTGTACGTGAGGCTGGGCTGGCTGGGCAGCCAGGCGACAGAGTCACTCGCTTGTTCGCTACTCCGTACTCTGTACTCTGTATACAGTGTTTCCGATATGATGGCCAACCATCTGGCAATCAGGGGAAACCCTGCCTTTCATTCACGGGGCGTTTCATTTCAGAACGGCGGTGACGTCTGGTTCGCACACAAAGAGACGCACTTGACGGGGCTCGCACACCGCAGATCTATGTGCTACGTCAAGGCGGCAACAGCGGCGGTTAACTCGACATTTTCGTGGTGTTTTGCTCCCGCATCCGCAGGAGACAACCGCGTCTCATGCATTGCATTTGAGACGGTGGCTCAGCAGTCACCTGCCAGTACAAACATTTCTCATACCGACTTTCAGTACTCCATACATGCTCCGTACTGTAGTTTATTATCCAGCCGCCACTGACCTGAGACATGGATGAGGCTCCGAGATTCGATTACCCGCCAGACATAAGTTCAACCTCATACACCAGGGTTCGTTGTCTGGCCGGAAATTGGTTCATCACTGCATCCTCCGCTCTCCTACCAAGATATATGTGAACCCCTGGCAGAAACATTGAGCTTTATTGTCAGCCTTCACCTCCCCACGATCAACAGTTTCCTACGCATCTGGTGCTCCAAGTGTCTGGGGTGTCCTCGTGTCCCATCGCTACACACGCCTGTGCATTTGCTCGTTCTCCAGAGTTCTTGGTACTATAAGGAGGATGATATTGGGTCCATACATTATACTACATGCTTTGGCACCAACGCCAAGATTATGACAGCCTCCACCTGCAATGAATATTACAAGCAGCATCCATCACAGGAGATGTGACCCTCCAAACCACTGGATAGTGGACCCTATGAATTTCTATTACTATCTGGTACGGAGTAGTGCTACCAGTTAGCATCGGCCGGTTCCCTTAACCTACCGCAAACATGTGGCATAGCCGGAAGCCCGAGTCATACGCCTGCACTGGGTTTCGGAAACAGCGCCATCGTCAAGAGTCACTTGGCCGACCTCTTCTCTCGGGTCACTACCACAATATCCATGGGCTCGCGCTGGGCCTCCATTCGCAGCGCAATAACACTGGGCGCACTCACAGATCACACTCGACGTCGATCGGGAAACATTCCGTGGGCCCCAAACTCCATTGTTGGTTGAGATGCTACTCTGTGGCGGTTGCACCACTGCATCATCCATCACTTGGCAATTGGACTTCCCGGTCCACCATGCCCTTGCAGTTCCAATCTGCTTCTTTACATATACTACATACTACCTTTATAATGTTAGAACAGGTGCATATGGATGTTTTTGGGACTCCAGGAGTTTGGTGCAGACACTTACTCCTGCGTTCACCGCAACCAACGCACGAACTATCCACTCAGCCGGCCGGCATTACCAGTCCCCTGCTGATAGCAACAGCGGACAAAACACCGATATCCGCGCTCTTTTGACTATCAGACATGGTGACAGTCGATTTGGGGACCACGACAATAATTGTCACTTTTATGTTGCGGAAGATTGTAGTACATGCCGTAGCCTGGCTTCACTGTCCAGTCCACAAGTGACGATCTGGGCAACTCAGTCACAAAGCTATCCTCGGCTCGGGGATAAATTCGCCTTAGTGTTTGCCATGATTATACAGCCAGCTTCTTGGTCTAGGCTTGTGCCTCGTGGCGGCATCTCGCCAGATTTGTTGTCCCCGTAGCGGAGCTGTCAGGAACATTGAACACAATGGGAACATTTGAACCCTGTGCAATCAACTGCTCCGTAGGCCCATCGCCCAGTAATGGAACAAATGGATCCCTTCCAGAGCAAGTAAGTGGATGCCCTGGACTGCTCGGTGCCACCGAGTCACTGGTGGATATTGTCTCGTAACCGTGGCGGGTCAACTCGGTACAAGTTTGCTGACTTGCCGGCCGGCTTCTAGGAATGAGAACTTGGCAAATGCAGGGACTAGTCGACTAGGCGTACATACGTACATGTGGTAAGTTACCTAATATCCGCATCCTGCATGTGTAGGACCGCGAAACGGACGGATTATGTGGGCTCAAAAGTGTTTCCAGCGCTCGTCTGTTCGTCCGTTGGTTCCGCGCTCCTTTCCAACTACTCCATGGATAATAAACAGTTCATGGAACGCCGAAACGAAGGGGCTCTGATGTGCCATCGGTCGTCTCAAAACGTGGCAAGCCTGCAAGGGACAAGCCGCACAAACCGTGGTTTGACGATGATGGCTTTCCTGGTAGCGAAGAACAATCACACATGTTCCTAGTGAATACTATTAATGCTGCTTATATGAGACACACGAAGGACCTGTACGAACAGGGGTATTTCTTCTGGTCAAGGATCATCACTGTCATGCTGCGTACGGCGTACTCTGTGCAGTGCGTTGTACGATATCGCAGCAAGCAAGTAAGGGCCTTGACAAAACCAGCCTCAGCGGATGCTATAAGACGCAAGCTATTGTAAGCGATCCTTGCTCATGCGACGGGCCGATGCTTGAGATACAAAATCCTAACTCGCTCGGGCCTTTTGCATCATCCGCTTGACAGCATGTCCACAGATCTCCAGGGTCAACAATTATGGATGTGATGCATTTGGACTAGTACAATACAATACAGAGTGCAATACTGTGTGCACATGGGTAATTTAATCATCGTCTTGATGTCATGCTGGGTGTGATGAATGCAAAGTGGCCACAGTCTCGCTCTTGGTCGCGCATCTTGGCTTGTAGGCCAAGATCAAGAACTACCTCCCAGGTAGGTAGACATGATTGGTCAAGTAGACGTAGATTTCAAGATTCAGGCTGTTGAAGCCATCTATCGGTACCTGACCGAAATCCCCGAGAATACGGCAAGTGGGAACTTCGTCTGTGTCCAGGCCGGCGGCCCTGCAGTTCCTGCAGCGGACTTGATATTCGATGTGCGTAGTACTAGTAATTCCAAGGCGTACATAGTGCATACAAAACAAGACTGCCGAGAAGCCTCCCGCGTTCCGCGACTCATTGATTCGACAGGCGACTTGGCATTTTCATCCTTTTCCCAGGAACAGCTAGACCCGGACAGGTTAGAAATCGGTATCCATCAACCATGCGAGAAATGGGTCTGCATAGAGTAGCTTGTGGTAGGTCCGCTAGGAAACGTTCGAGTAGCTCAATGGCATCAGAGCCAGCCAACGAGGATCAAGATGATTACGCCTTGAATAAAGGACCATGGTAGGAAGAATACGCCAGTAGGTGGGAGGCACAGGAAAGCTAGCAAGAAGACAGCCGAGTCGAGGTCATCGCTCGTCGGACTCCAATGACCTAGTTTGTCCCGTCCATGTAAGAGATGCACGGCGGAAGGGCGCCGCCGATTACAATTTGCATAGTAACCCAGGCCCATCCTCTGCCGCCTGGTGTATCATAAAAGGGTCAAGGGGACTGATGCTGCCCGGGATTAGGAACTGAGAAATTGGTTTTGGCCTACTTGACGTTTTTGTGTCGTTCGCAAAGAGCGACGACTTGGGAAGGCGGCCACGCGACCTCCTTGTTTGTTTTGGCCAGACAGCGGCGACTAAGTGCGGAATACTCCGTGCCTATGGAGCACAGTATGCTTGAATATCGACGGGCATGCCTCATGTGCTGTCGGCGAGGTTCCTCCACTCAGGGCCAAGTTGTCGAATTTGCCTGTTCGTAGTAAGATGCGGCATGGCCATGATCAAGCGTTGTCGGGTCGGCCAGTGATGACGATGACGACAATAGAACGGCCTGCATTTCTTCACGACGGGTAACCACGGCGTCGGGAGGCTATTGGAGATTGCTCGCAGATGGTTCGGCAGGGCGGATATCGCCGTTTTGTGGCAAAAGGGCAGACATCAGGATACAGTGGCGGAAATTTCTCGGCCTTGGGCGTCGGGAGAAACAGGGTAGCTGTCAGATGCTTAGAGCAGTCACGTGCCGTTTGCACGGAGTACGGCAGCCACTTGCCTCAAGCCTCCATGACTGCACAATGGCACTGGGCTGACATCATCCCGGGCGCGGGCATCATGAGAATTACGTATTGGACTGGCTATGGTTTTTGTAGATACTTATATGCCTCCCATTGCGCACCTGCACTCGTCCTCAACCCGTGACTTAGAAACTCTGTTTTGCACCACGATCAACTTGGCTCTTCAACATCAATTCCGCCTTCTCCTGCTTCCCTTGGTGGACAAGGATTTCGCCGGAACCAAGCTGTCCAGCCGTCGTACGATAATTCGTGCACCAGCGTCGCGGCATTTACACGAATCAACTCATACGGAATCGCTCTCTTCCTCAAGCATCACGGGACACAGAATATCCCTTTCGGGTTCCTGACCTGGACAAATCTCATCGGTAAAGCCGCACTCCGGAGCGCACCACTTTTGCCTCTACAATCCCCGCGGTGACTGAACGCCTTTTTGGTGCAGTGTTCCTGCCTTTTTTCTTTCCTTCTCTTTTTTTTCGGACCCGGAGCTTCGGCAACTCAAAACAGCCCAGCCAGCACTCCACCCAAGCCTCCAAACTCAAATACCAACGACATCATTCCATAAATAAGTCACCACCGCCGCTGCCGCCCATTCAATCCATCAAAACTCCGACCAACCACTCGCACAAGCTCCCAAAATGAAGGTCGTCAGCAAAGAAGAGGAAAAGGCCCACTACAACGTCGTCGTAAAAGGCGGCCTGATCGGCGGCACGGCCAGCTTGGCCCTCGGCCTCGGCGGTGTAGTGTTCGCCTCGCGCCGCTACCCTGCCTTCCGGTCGCTGACCGTCCCCTTCCGTGCCTTCCTCGTCACGTCGACGGCGACGTTTGGCGCCATTGTCAACGCCGAGCGGTACTCCAATAACTTCCAGCGTCAAAACGACCCCAACTACGGTTACAAGGACACTTCGCAGCGAGCCATCCAGATTGCGCGCGAGAACGAGTCGACGTACGAGCGCTTCATGGAATGGGGCAAGGAGAATCGCTACAGCATCGTCTTCGCCTCGTGGCTGGCGAGTATGGCCGTCGCGCTGGCCCTCGTCGGCCGCGCTCCCATGAGCACCTCGCAGAAGCTGGTGCAGGCTCGTGTCTACGCGCAGGGGCTGACACTGGCCGTGCTCGTCGTCAGCGCTGCCTTTGAGATGCACGATGCCAAGAAGGGCAGCGGCCGGTGGGAGACGGTCATGGTGGTAGACCCCAATGATCCTGAGCACAAGCACTTGATTGAGAAGAAGATTCACAAGGAAGAGTATGAGGGCCAAGATTTATGGATGGGTGAGTTTTGCCCCCCTCCCCCCCCTTTTTTTTGGTTTTCCTGAACAGAGGCTAACGATTGTTGGTGTTAGATATGGTCGAAGCTGAGGAACGACGATTGGCTGCTAAGAAGGCTGCGGAGAACAGGGCTTAAATCTGCATTCAAACATGGGACTGTCGGCTCATGATTGCATTAAACATACATACATCTCCTATTCTGCATTTGAAGAGGCACGAAATACCGTCACATTAGAGGAGGGAGAATGGCGTTCTGGGAAGCTGCATCCAGGTGGCATTAAAAATAGGAATCTTGGTCAAGTCTGCATTGTACATGTACCTTTTTGGCGTCAAAACATCAACATCAAATTGTATTATTTATTAGACATTTGGCCCGGGAAAGGTGTGCATATATCCCGCTGTTATCAAATCATCGTATTTTCGTAGAATTTCTCCCAGAATACCAACACAGGTTCATACATACACTAGGCAATACCTTGGAAATTGGAGATTGGAAGTGACCAGATTGCTAGAATCGCAGTATTGTGATTTGTTATTAACTGCGTTACATTGCCCTCTATGCTAACTCCGGCTCAAACTTCAATCGTGAAATGACTTATCTGCGAATAATATGCATGCACCGCCAACTCCAGTATCGTCACGTCTCCGAATACTTCACTGCCATCGAAGCCTCCAATCACCAATAGCCTACTATCATATAACACCGTTCCATGATATCCCCTACCACTTGGCGGTTTCCCATATGCCTTCCTCTTGTCCCACGTCATCGTCACGAGATTTAGTAGTATCACATCGTTGCAGTAGTCGCTTCCGTCATGGCCTCCAATCACGAAGAGATATGAACCAACAATCGTGGCCGTGTGGGATAAACGTCTATAGGTAACAGGTATGGAGACCGATTTCCAAATGTGTGTCTCCACGTCGTAGATCCATACGTCGTCAAAGCATTCGCCGCCGTCTGAGCCGCCGAATATGATCAGTTTGCTGCCGACTATGTTGGCAGTGTGGTAGCCCCGGGCTTTGGGGCGGTGGTCTTTGGTGGTTGAGGTCGAGCTTGATATCTTTTCAGGCCCGGATATGAGCTTCCATGACATTTTGGTAGGATCGCTGACGTCGAGTCTCCAAATGTCGTTGAGTGCTCTGACGCCGTCGCCGCCTCCAAACATGTAGATGCCGTTTTTGTATAGGCATGCCGTGTGGGCTCTCCGTTTAGACGGGATCCTGTCTCCTATTATACGGGGCTTTGTCCACCGAAAATTGACAGTATCCAAGACGTATACATCATTGTAATACGCCGGGCCATCACCACCTCCGAATACAACGAGCTTCTTGCCCACGGCAGTGCAGGTCATTGCGCGTAGTGGCATGGGAATATCGCCTACCACGTGCGGGACAGACCAGTAGAAGGCATCGGCGTCGAGTACATAGACGGTGTTGAAACATATTCGCGCGTCACATCCGCCAAAGACGTAAATATTGGACCCGATCAAGGTTGTCGTGTGAGCTCGAAGATTTGAGTGCGGCGATCCTGATACAAACGCCTTTGACCAATACAAGCCAGATGGCGGGGCGGGTTCGACATCCGGCGCGTCTTTGGGATCGGGAAGCGATGGGAAGGGGACGTGTTGTCCCCGAGGAGGTCGAGTGAGTTTGTTAGATGTTCGAGTTGTTGCCGCGGAAGATGGGGCCTTTCGACTACTGGCAGCCACAGAGGAACCGGTTCGCGAGCCCGTCGTCAGTGGTCGTTTCTTCTCCTTCTCCTTCTCCTTCTCTCCATCCTCCACGGCGGGTTCAGCAGACCCATTTGAAACGGGAGGCGCCTTGGCTGGATATGTGCTTGAGGTGGAACTGGATGCGACCTGGGAGGCGGATTGGGATCGCTGCCTGATAGCGACGTCGGAAGTCTTTCGTCGCTTGTCATTGATGCTCTTGCTGGCGAGATGGCCTGGTGTATGACTCCGCGGCAGTGGGGCAGGTTCTTGATCGGAATCGTCTGAATCACGATATATTGTCGTGTGTTGGCTTGGCGAAGCGCTCGCGAGTGCCTTGCTCGATCGGGCAGATTTTGTCTTGGACGCCTTATGAGGGGAACGCACCGACTTGCCAGAGTCCGCCATGGCGTCACCAGCCGAAGCTCATCGCCTCGGCCACCGGGTGATGACAAGCGACGACGGCCTTTGCGTGGGGGAGACACGAGGTTGACGGGCAGGACTGGCAGAAGCAAAGGGCGAGGAATTGGGTAATTTCATCGGGCTGGGAGAGTGCAATTCAACGTCTAATATGGCACAATGAGCTGTTGCCACATGATGGGCGCGTCTGAGGGGTAGCAGCAATGCGGTTAATGCTGCAAATGCACTTCAATTGGGCTGGCATGGTAGTGAGATGGAGCAGGGAGCAGGGAGCAGGGAGCTGTGACGAAGCCGCAGGCCCAGTCGCTCTTGCCCACTTGCTACTCCCCGCGAACCCCACCACATTAAGGATGCGAGCTGTGGTATGCGTATTAACGTTGGCAAAGAGTAGTAGAACGGTGCCGATATGAAACCCCCTCCTCCTCCCCAGGAAAAGAAAGGAAAAGAGACACTGATTCAGATATCCAAATTCTTTCTTTTTTTTTCCCGTTGCCCTTCCTTTTTGCAGGTCCAATAAACCAGCTTAGCAAATAATATTCAGCACGCAATGACGCAGGTGCCGCCAACTGTCTGCAACTGGCAGTCGATTACACCGGGCGCCATTTGGCGGGCCCGTTTTTGACACTGCAGCTCGAGCATGTAGAATTTTTTTTGTCTCCGCCACCAAGTAAGCCCAACTTCAACAATATACTCGGGAGGAGGTTCGAAAGGGGCACATTTCGGCCGCAGCCTAATTTCATCTTCCTTTGAAGCTACTGGTCGCCCTATGATTGAAAGGCTGGCAAGCTGGTTGCTGTCGTAATAGCCAGGCCCAGTCGAGTCTCGTGCTTGAGAGTCTCAATTAACCGTATCCTCTGACTACAGGGAACGAGGATATTTTTTGTTCAACATCACACATCGATCCCGCCATTAGAATCAGCCGCCCACAGCACTTTCAATGCCTGAGAGTGTTGATTCAAAAATGAACGGCCAAGAGCAGGCTCCGGCTCCTGCTCCTACTCCTGCCCCAGAAACGACACATCATGAACCTGATACTCCTGAGCAACCAGCTGCGAAGAGACTTAAGGTGAACGATGCAGCCCATTCAAGAGCAGGTTCAAATGCTACAGAGGGCCCCGACGGACAGGAGTCCCGAGATGTGCTAACAAACGGCAATGGCGAGACTGTTGCCGAATCACGCGCCCCCATCGACCGTCGTGTAGGCACAACACCAATTAAGAAGGAGTGAGTACTATGTAAATAACAACTACAACCCATTGCTATCCTAACATGGCACAGGTACCTTCTTGGTGTATCTACGTCAAGAAATTCAGAATCAGAGATGGCGGATGACGACGCCGCTGAAGGCCGTGGTGGTGATGACAGAGATCGCAGAGACAACCACGGAGGTGCGAAAGGCAAAAGGGGGAAAAAGGAGAAAAGAAAGAAAGGCCAGAACACCGAACGCTCTTTTGGCCGCTTCGGAGATTCCATCCAACTCTGTAACAGTCGCGCCATGTACCCCGAATTCTCACCTCACCCGTGCAAATTCGGTGACGAGTGCCGCATGTCTCACGACTTGCGAAAGTATCTCGAAGAAGGACGTCGCGAGGATGTCGAAACCTTTGGCGGCAAGTGTCCCGTATTTGAGCAGTACGGCGTCTGTTTCTCGGGCTGGAAATGCCGCTTTGTTAAGAGCCACATGAGGGAGCTGGAGCACGAGGACGGCCGAAAGGAGCTGGTTCTCATTGATAACTCAAACACGACGGAATCCAACGGCACAGAGCCCATGCCAACGTCAACCAAGGTCTCCGGTGGTGATGAACTTGATGAGCGCCGAGCAGGAATCTACAACAACGTCGCTATGAGTACCAAGATTGACCTGAACCGTAAGCGAATCGACTTCGCCAAAGCAGACGAGTACATCAAGTGGATGAACGACGAAGCCACCCTCAACAACTCGTTCCACCATCGTCGCAAGGACCAGTCCAACGAAGGCATCGAGGACCTCCGCGCCCAGTTCGTCGACCCCCCTTTCAAGCCGTCCGAAAAGCGCCGGCTGTACTTTGGTCCCGAAACACCCACTCTCGCACCGCTGACCACCCAGGGAAACCTCCCCTTCCGCCGTCTCTGCGTCGAACTCGGCTGCGAACTGACATACTCCGAAATGGCAATGGGCATGCCCCTCCTGCAAGGTACAAAGGCAGACTGGACGCTTCTTAAGGCGCACGAATCCGAGATCCAACCGCCCGCCTTCAAGCCCAGCAGCAACAACTACGTCTTTGAAAACTACGACAACTCGCGCGACCTGCGCTTCGGTGCCCAAATCTCCGGCAACCAGCCCTGGATCGTCACCAAAGCCGCCGACGTCCTCAACCGCTACTGCCCTCACCTGCGCCTTATCGACCTTAACTGCGGATGCCCCATCGATATGGTTTTCAAATCCGGCGGCGGCTCAGCTCTTCTCGAATCCCAGGGCAAGCTTGAACGTATGATCCGCGGCATGAACGCCATGTCCGGCGAGATTCCCATCACCGCCAAGATACGAACGGGCGTGAAGTCGTCTCGCCCAACGGCCCCCTCTGTCATCTCCAAACTCGCCTTTGGATCACGCGAGCACCGCGAACGCCTCGGCGCCCCCGGGTGCGCGGCATTGACCCTTCACGGCCGCAGCCGAGAGCAGCGGTACACCAAACGCGCGGACTGGAGCTACATCGGCGAATGCGCGGCCCTTATCAAGACCTACAACGAGCAAAGGGACGCCCTGGCCGACACTGCCGCCGAGCCTGACGCGAGCACCCTCCCCAATTCTAAAGACGGAAGGATGTACTTCCTCGGCAATGGCGACTGCTACTCTCACACGGAATACTTTGAGCATGTTTCCAAATCCCGTGTCGACACCGTCATGATTGGTCGTGGCGCCCTCATCAAGCCCTGGCTTTTTGAAGAGATTCAACAGGGTCAGTATCTCGATAAATCTGCTTCCGAACGTCTCACGTACATCGAGAAATTTGTACGCTACGGTCTCGACGCCTGGGGCTCAGATGAGCTCGGCATCGGGTTCACCAGACGTTTCCTACTGGAGTGGTTGAGTTTTGCGCATCGCTATGTCCCCGTCGGCCTGCTGGAGGTGCTGCCGCCTAGTTTGAATGATCGTCCGCCGGCCTACGTGGGAAGGAATGATTTGGAGACTCTAATGGCCAGTGGGAATTACAAGGACTGGATCAAGATTACGTATGTTTTTCTCATTATTATTTTCAACGCTTGGTTTCCCCTTGTCGATGTTGCTAACTCGCTTCACAGGGAAATGTTCTTGGGACCGGTCCATCCTGGATTCGAGTTTCAGCCTAAACATCGGTCGAATGCTTATGAGGCAGAGGGTTAAACTAGATGATGTGACATGGATGAATAGATGAAAGATACACATGTGCATTAAAGGGAGTCACGTTGCTACGCCATTGTGGTTTACATTAGGAGTTTGCTTTGCTTGTACGGCTGAGATAGGTATAAAAATAGGGAACTGTATGCGCTCTCGCTTGGGACTGCAATCACGTACCAAGTCACATTCACAGCTCAAGGGAAGATAGGAAAATAAATGAGCTTCTCAAAAACAGTTACGTATTCTCGCCGGGATCTGATGATAGTAACTTGAAAGAACAAGCAACGCTAATGCACTTTGGCCACATTTGAAAGGCCGCGTATCTTTCCGTCGCGTCTGCCATTCTGGGTTACACATAACCACCTTTTTTTAACAAAATAAAAACAAAGAAAAGAAAATGAACGGCTATGCCCCTAATCGCAGCATCGAGAAGACATGGATTGCCCCGAAGTTTAGCCTGATGCCAGTAGATCTGGTCACACCAGATCTGATTCTAGCCAAACGCTTGCAATAAATAGCAAGACACTCAAATTTCAACAAATACAAAAACATTTACCTCAACATCCTTCCTCCATTTTATAAACCACAAAATAAAGCCGCCCAAAAAAATGGTGCACCTCAGCGTAATTTGCTCAAGATGACTTCCTTCAGCTTGGCCTTCTCTCCACTGTGTTCGCACAAATCTCTAAAGATGCTGCCTTCGGTCTCCCATAGTTCACGAGGCGAGCCAAATTCAGCAACAGTACCCTCACTCAGTACGAGAATGCGATCAAAGTCGGCAATGGTACTTAATCTGTGAGCAATAACAATGAGGGTGCTGTCAGTAAACTCCTCTCGAATGCTGCGCTGGATGAGAGCATCGGTGGCCATGTCCACAGCGGACGTAGCCTCATCCAGGACCATAACCTTCGGACGAGAAACAATAGCTCGAGCAATGCAGAGAAGCTGACGCTGGCCTTGAGACAAATTGCCGCCAGACTCTGAAATGCCGCTGGACAAGTCGCGGAAGATGTTGGTATTCTTGGGGGCAATGGTCGACCCAGCAGTCGAAGATGCCTCGTTCGCGGGAGTGGCTGGAGCAGAATCGACCAAGTGGACTCGCGACAGACAATCGGTCAATTCATCGTCTGTATGGTCGTCGAAAGGATCAAGATTACTCCGAACAGTACCGGAGAAAAGCACAGGATCCTGTCAATTGCGTCAGAAATCAGTGTCACTAAAGGTTTTACTCAGATAGCATAACCTACCTGGGGAATAATGGCAAGACGAGATCGCAAATCGTGGAGTCGAATCTTGGAAATGTCAATTCCGTCAATCAAGACTTGACCAGACCTAGCTTCAAGGAATCGGAAGAGCGCCAGAGTCAGCGACGACTTGCCAGCACCAGTGCGGCCGATGACTCCGATGCGTTCATTGTTTTTAACATCGAACGATATTCCCTTCAAAACGGGAGGTAAGTCGTCCGCATAACTGACGACAAGATCCTTGACCTCCATAGTGCCAGTGGTAGGCCACGAAGCAGGAGGAATCTCACCGCCCAAGTCCTCGGTCTCGACTTCCGTGTATTCAATCACGCGCTCGGCAGCATTCATGTCTAATTCCAAGGACGCATACCCTCGGATGGCCATGAGCATATTGCCAGAGAAGTCAAGGGCGAATGATAAAGTAAATCCAGCCATGGCAGCATTAACAAATGAGGAGCCAACAACAATGGCACCAACCATGGTGGTGAAGACGGTCCCTATTAGTGCCATACGGAAACCCAACCAACGATTCAGAGTCCAAATATGGACAGAAACTGTGTCCCAGTTATCAAGGTAAGAGTGCATTTGACCGACGTAGGTCTGAGTCTTCTTGAAGGCTCGCAAGGTAGACACGCCCGACAGCGACGAGTTGAAAAGCTCAAAGACTGGTGATTTGGCATTGCTCTCAATTCTTTTCACCGGCCGAGCACCAGTCAAGAATCGGATAGCGATGAAACTAGCAACAAATAACAATACGAGCGCCAAGGGAAGCATGAGAGTAGAAACCAGGAGAGCCGCCACGCAGACGCCCATCAGGCCCAAGACACGCCAGAACATAAATCCAAGGTCCATAGTGATTCGGTTGTCGATGATATCAAAATCGGCGGTCAGACGGTTAAGAACACGACCGACAGGAACGGTGTCTAGCCAACGCAACCGAGTTCGCAAAACTGTGAAGAGAATTCTGCGGAACAGTGTCCTGGCAGCCTTGATGCTCATAATAAAGGACCAGACAAATCGCAAAGTACCAATAATTCCACTTGCCGTAGCAATAGCTACATAGATCCAAAGGTAATACGACAAGGTATGGCTATGCTCCTCACTGTACGTGACGAGTCGAGAAGCGGAAGCTGAGTGTAGGGTGCTGTGCTCATATGATAGACCATACACCATACCATGTTCACGAGACGCATTCACAAATGTGTGCTCCTCAGAGGCACCTGTCCAAATACGTACCCACCAGTTGCGTCCGAGATTACCGGCTTCAAAGGCAATGAACAAAAGGATGCAGACACCCCAGAAAAACCATCCGCCGCTGCTTCTGAGGAAGGTGCCGTACACACGGGCTTTGACATTCCCCTTTGCACGAGCTTCATCTTCCACGAACTTCTTGGCGGTCTGAGATGGAACTTTGTGCAATGCGTTTTCGGACTCTTCGAGGTCCACAGCTTCCTCAACAGAGACTGCCTCGGAGTTGACGGCGGTTGCGCCGTCAGTCGTGTCTTCAACATAGACTTCCAGTTGAGTTTGTTCGTGGCTCTTAATGAGTTCGAGAGTGCCATCTTCAGCGAGGTCGGACGTAAGACCAGCATGGAGGACTGTTCCCTCTCCGAGTTCGACAAGATACTTGGTGATGGGTTCAACTAAAGCGACATGGTGGGTGACAAGAATTCGGGTTCTGCCTTTGCAGATCGGACCAGATATGCACCTTTCAAAGATCTGTCTGCCAACATGGGCATCCACAGCACTAAAAATATCATCCATGATGAGGATTTCGGCTCGAGAGTAAATAGCACGAGCTAGAGTAAGTCGCCACTTTTGACCGCCACTGAGATTGATGCCATTGGCGCCCAACTCAGTCTTGTCGCCATCATTCAAGATTTCAATATCTCTCTTCAAAGCGCAAACATCAAGAACAGTATTGTATCTGCTCTCAATGAAAGGCAAACCAAAAAGAATGTTGTCACGGAGTGAGGCGCTCTCAAGCCACGGATTCTGGCCAACGTAGGCTACAGCGCCGGGAAGAATCCAATTTCCGGGGTGTGCCTTGCCATCATGTCGTTCCAGGGGAGGAACAGTTCGAGGCACAAAAATGTTTCCTTCCAAGAGGTCCGACTCCCCAAGGAGAGCATTCAACACGAGACTTTTTCCCGATCCAGTTTTCCCCGAAATGACGGACAATTCACCGGCCGGGAAAGAAAGATTGACGTTGTTCAGAATGAATCGATCATCGTCTGGGACTTCGTCGTCGACAGGCCAAGCAATTGTCGCATTGTCAAAGGCTACATCATGGCCTTCTGTGAGAATGTTCTTCATTTCGGGACCTTTTAGATATTTATCGATACGTCTAACTGAGACCAAGGTGTCAATGCCCCCAGTTAGGAGTTCCGGGAGAGCTGATAGCGATACCTCCAAACTCTTGAAGACTCCGATACTGACAAAGGCGACAGATGGCGCAAGCATTCCGTTGACAACAGCGTACACCGCCAGAGACGCTGCTGCAAGAAGGATAGGGCTCGCCACCCAAGAAAAGAATAGCATGCTGTCAGCCTTGAACACATCCTTCAGCGAAGAAATTTCGATCTCTCTCATTTCAAGGATCTTGTTTTCCCATTGGGCTTCCAGCGCTGAAAATTTGATTTGTCGCATGCCTAGCAAGGCCTCGTTGATAACGGCCAGTTTATTGTCACGGTTCTTCATCAGTCGCGTCTCGGCCTTGAGATAGTATTTGGCGGCAACAGTGTTCGCAGGAAGAACAAGGGACCAGGCCAGAATACCAGCACCAAATGGTATCCAGCCAATGAGCTTAACAAGATAGCCAGAATAAACAAGAAGTTTACCAATGCTACTAATGATGAAGAGTTGCATCATTGCAAAGTCGGCAATGTGTTTGGTATCCACACCAACGAGGTTCACAATTGCCTGGCGTGACTTCAGTACACTGTCTTCATCATCTCGAGCTTCTTCTTTCTTGCCCTTGTCCTTATCATTGCCCTTTGCGTCATCGGACGATTCGTCCTCTTTGGTTTTCTCTGCGTTTTTAACATTCTTTCGTCGAAGAGATTTTTCAAAGATTAGGGCTGCGAGCTGTCCTCTGACCGGAGCAAACAACTTGGTGATGGAAAACCAGACAATCCAGCCGTCCAGCCACTAGAGCGTCAGTTAGTATGTTGGGAGGGACTCGAAAGGCCATTGGACACTCGGACTTACCTGTTCGGCGAGAGTGAAGAGTCCCATGAGAAACACGAGAACCCACAGCTCACGAGATGCTACAATACCAGCATCGCGGTCTTCAAGCATCTGGACAAGACGGAGCATAGTCCAGAATGGGCCAAGACCAATGATACATCGGAAAACAATGATGGCCCATTGAAATACAAGACGTCTACCGTAGGCTACAAGCAAGGATTTCAAGAGGCTGCCCTGGTAGTTTGCCTTGTTCCAAGCGTCGACAAGCGACTCTGCTCGGATAGTGTGGTCGGGTCTAGGGATATCTTTCTCATCCAAATCGCCCTTTCTCTTGGCCGTCTCCAGGAGGTCGTTGACCCAGCTCCAGGTATACCGACTCAGAACGGTGGTGGACCACTCTGCATCAACTTTTTCGCCATTGTAGAAAACGTCCGGTCGTCGAGGCAGGCTTATGCAAGAAAAGGCCAGGGGAATCAGAATGACGGCATTAACGATTCGCACAATGAGATTGACGTCTTTTCCTGGCGATGCAAAATTGCTCACATGGTAGACTTGGGCAGCACTAACGGCGAC